ATGTGGAAAGTCTTCTTGGGGCCTGGGATGGGGGTGAGGGAGGAGGTATGGGGGCAGGTGTAGCACTTCCTGCGGTTGCAGGGAAATGTGCTGGGTTTGGTGGGGCTGGAGGGGAGTGTGGAGCGGACAAGGGAGTCACGGAGAGAGTGGTCCCTCCGGAAAGCAGATAAGAGTGGGGAGGGAAAGATGTCTTTGGTGGTAGGGTCGGATTGCAGATGGCGGAAGTGTCGGAGGATGATGCGTTGGATCCGGAGGTTGGTGGGGTGGTACATGAGGACGAGGGGGATTCTTTTTTCGTTCTTATTGCGTGGACGGGGTGTGAGGGATGAGTTGCGGGAGATGTGGGAGACACGGTTGAGGGCGTTCTCGACCACTGAGGGGGAAAGTTACGGTCCTTGAAAAACGAGGACGACTGAGATGTACGGGAGTGGAATGCCTCATCCTGGGAGCAGATGCGGCGGAGGCGAAGGAATTGGGAATAGGGGATAGCATTTTTGCAGGAAGGTGGGTGGGAGGAGGAGTATTCTAGGTAGCTGTGGGAGTCGGTGGGCTTGAAATGAATATCGGTTTCTAGGTGGTTGCCCGATATGGAGACAGAGAGGTCCAGGAAGGGGAGAGAGGTATTAGAGATGGTCCAGGTAAACTTAAAGTTGGGGTGGAAGGTGTTGGTGAAGTGGATGAACTGTTCGAGCTCCTCGTGGGAGCACAAGGCGGCGCCGATACAGTCATCAATGTAACGGAGGAAGAGATGGGGTTTAGGGCCAGTGTTGGTACAGAAGAGGGATTGTTCCACGTAACCTACAAAGAGGCAGGCATAGCTTGGGCCCATGCGGGTACCCATGGCCACCCCCTTTGTCTGTAGGGAGTGGGAGGAATTGAAAGAGAAGTTGTTGAGGGTGAGGACGAGTTCGGCTAAGCGGATGAGGGTGTCAGTGGAGGGGGACTGGTCGGGCCTGCAGGACAGGAAGAAGCAGAGGGCCTTTAGGCCATCTGCATGGGGAATGCAGGTGTAGAGGGACTGGACGTTCATGGTAAAGATGAGGTGTTGGGGACCGGGGAATTGGAAGTTCTGGAGGAGGTGGAGGGCGTGGGTGGTGTCACGGACATAGGTAGGGAGTTCCTGGGCCAAGGGGGAGAAAATGGAGTCCAGATAGTTGGAGATAAGCTCGGTGGGGCAGGAGCAGGCAGAGACAATGGGTCAACCAGGGCATTCAGGTTTGTGGATTTTGGGAAGGAGATAGAAGCGGGCAGTGCGAGGTTGGGGAACGATGAGGTTGGAGGCCGTGGGTGGGAGGTCACCTGAGGTGATGACGTTGTGGATGGTTTGGGAGATGATGGTTTGGTGCTCAGGGGTGGGGTCATGATCAAGGGAGCGGTAGGAGGTGGTGTCGGAGAGTTGGCGTCTGGCCTCGGCGATGTAGAGGTCAGTGCGCCATACTACAACTGCACCTCCCTTGTCCGCGGGTTTTATGGTGAGGTTGGGATTGGAGCGGAGGGAACGGAGGGCTGCACGTTCTGCGGGGGAGAGGTTGGAGTGGGTGAGAGGGGTGGAGAGGTTGAGGTGATTGATGTCTCGACGGCAGTTGGAGATGAAGAGGTCGAGGGAGGGTAGGAGGCCTTGGGGTGGTGTCCAGGAGGACGGGGTGTGTTGGAAGCGGGAGAAGGGGTCAGTAGAGGGAGGGTTAGGTTCACGGTTGAAGAAGTAAGCGTGGAGGTGGAGGCGGCGGAAAAACTGCTCTATGTCCAAACGCGAGCGGTATTCGTTGATCTGTGGGTGGAGGGGGACAAAGGTGAGCCCTTTACTGAGGACTGACCGTTCGTCCTCAGTAAGGGGTAGGTCTGGGGGGATGGTGAAGACTCGGCAGGGCTGGGTGCTATTGTCCCCTCTGGAGCTGCTGGCTGTGGAGGCTGTGGGCGGAGCGACGTCGGCGTCGGCTGTGGGCGGAGTTGCATCGGCGTTGGCTGTGGGCAGAGTTGCATCGGTGTCGGCAGTGAGCGGAGTTGCGTCGGCGGTGGGCGGAGTTGCGTCGGTGTCAGCGGTGGGCGGAGTTGCGCTGGCGGTGGGCGGAGTTGCGTCTGCGTCGGTGATGGGCGGAGCGGCGTCGGCGGTGGGGGGAGCGGGGTAGGCGGCGGCAGTAGCGGTGACGGTAGTCGCGACTTCAGTGTCGGTGGTGTTGGTCTCGGAAATGGAGGCGGTGGCATCAGCAGCAATGGTGTTCGCTGTCCCAGAAGTGGGGAACCCAGCGGTGGCGGATGTGACGTCATCTGTGGGTTCTCCAACAGTGGCCTCATGGCTAATGGCAGCGGGCACATTGTGGGGAAGGTCCTGGGTACGGCTGGGGATTTGGGAGGTGGAGGAAGCCCGTTTTGGGTGGTAGGCACCAGTAAGTTTACTGTACTTACGGTTTATAGTGTCCAATAACGCCGAGTAGAATTGTGAGTTCAGATTGTGGATCCTACGAAGAATAAAAAACAGGAGAGGTCCTTTGCAGGTCTGGGAGAGGGAGGCTCTGAGCTGGGGTAGGCTTGATTGTAGTGCCTGGAGATGCCGGTGCATTGCTGCGAGTGTGTGTTTCAGGAGTCGCAGGGAGAAACGCTTCTGAAGAATCTCAATGCCATGAGTGTAGATATTGTCACGGTTGGGGCCAAGTTGGGAAGGCCTGAATGTGGACTGTAGTCCATTGGGGATGATCTGGTTCCGTAGGCAGGTGCTAAGAAAGGTGATGTGGCTGTAGTGCCTGGTTTGCTTCAGGACATGGTCGAGCAGTTTCAGGGCCGAAGAGATTACGAGAGAGTTGCAGTGGGAGAGAGATCCCCTGAGGTGTGTCCGGCGGGAGGAGGGTAACTTCTTCAGGCTAGTTATCCTTACAAGAGGCTTCGCAGTGGGGTTAAAATTGAATCAGAGATAGTAGGAACTGCAGATGCTGGAGAATCCGAGACAACAAGGTGCAGGGCTGGATGGCTGGATGAACACAGCAGGCCAAGCAGCATCACAGGAGCAGAAAGGCTGACGTTTCGGGCCTAGACCCTTCATCAGAAAAAGGAGAGGGGAAGGGGGTTCTGAAATAAATAGGGAGAGAGTGGGAGGCGGATAGAAGATGGATAGAGGAGAGGATAGGTGGAGAGGAAACAAACAGGTCGAAGAGGCGGGGATGGGGCCAGTAAAGGTGAGTGTAGGTGGGGAGTTAGGGAGGGGATAGGTCAGTCCAGGGAGGACGGACAGGTCAAGGGGGCAAGATGAGGTTAGTCGGGAGGAGGTGGGGGTGGGGCTTGAGGGGGGAGGAGGGGATAGGGGGGAGGAAGAACAGGTTGGGGAGGCGGGGACGAGCTGGACTGGTTTTGGGTTGCGGTAGGGGGAGGGGAGATTTTGAAGCTTGTGAAATCCACATTGACACCATTGGGCTGCAGGGTTCCCAAGCGGAATATGAGTTGCTGTTCCTGCAACCTTCGGGTGGCATCGTTGTGGCACTGCAGGAGGCCCAGGATGGATATGTCATCTAAGGAATGGGAGGGGGAGTTGAAATGGTTCGCGACTGGGAGGTGCAGTTGTTTATTGCGAACCAAGCATAGGTGTTCTACAAAGCGGTCCCCGAGCCTCCGCTTGGTTTCCCCGATGTAGAGGAAGCCACACCGGGTACATCGGATGCAGTATACCACATTGGCAGATGTGCAGGTGAACATCTGCTTGATGTGGAAAATCTTCTTGGGGTCTGGGATGGGGGTGAGGGAGGAGGTATGGGGGCACGTGTAGCACTTCCTGCGGTTGCAGGGAAAAGTGCCAGGTGTGGTGGGGCTGGAGGAGAGTGTAGTCTGGTTTGTTCATAATGACGGTCATGTGCCCTTTTCTGATGAAGGGTCTAGGCCCGAAACGTCAACCCCTCTGCTCCTATGATGCTGCTTGGTCTGCTGTGTTCATCCAGCCCTGCACCTTGTTGTCTCGGATTCTCCAGCATCTGCAGTTCCTACTATCTCTGATTCAGGATTATAATGTTCTTGTGATTATTAAACGCAACAAATTAGAAGAGACGCTCCACCTCATCAACAACGTATTCGCAGGGATTAAATTCACAAGGGAAGAAGAAAACAACAATAAACTTCCGTTATTGAACGTCAGAGTTGAGTGTATGACCAAAGGGGAGTTCTAAGCCCCAGTACTCAGAAAAGCAACCTACCCTGACCAAATCCTCAACTCCCACAGCAATCATCCCGATGTCCACAAACAAAGCTGCATTAGGACACTAGTTAAACAGGCCACAACACACGGCAACAATCCAGAACTACGCAGGAAAGAGGAAGAGCACCTATACAAAATCTTCGCTATGAATGGATATCCCCGCAACTTCATCCACAGATGCCTACTAAACAGACAACAAAAGGAGGACACAGTATGCCCTAACACACTAGCCACACTGCCCTATATCAAGAACATATCAGAACTGACAAGAAGATTCCTAAGACCATGACGATTCATGGCGGCACACAAACCCACAGCCACTCCACGACAAACACTTACAAGGATTAAAGACCCCATTCCCACGACATGCAGAACCAACGTGGTTTACAAAATACCATGAAACGACTGCCATAAACATTACATCAGACAGACAGGAAGGAAACTAGCCATCAGAATACACGAACATCAACTAGCAGTAAAACGGACGACGAACTCTCCTTAGTATCGGTACACTCAGACAATGAAGGCCATCAGTTTAACTTTTCTTTCTTTATTCAATCATGGCTAGGCCAGCATTTATTGTGGTCCCTAATTGCCCAGAAGGCTGTTAAGAGTCAACCGCATTGCAGCGGGTCTGGAGTCACATGTAGTCCAGACCAGGTAAGGATGGCAGTTTCTTTCCCTAAGGGACTTTAGTGAACCAGATGGGTTTTTCCTGACAATCGACAATGGATTCACGGTCATCATTAGATTCTTAATTCCAGATATTTATTGAATTCAAGTTCCACCATCTGCCGTGGTGGGATTCAAACCCAGGTCCCTGGAATGTTATCTGGGTCTCTGGATTAACAGTCCAGCAACAGGACCACTTGGCCATCGCCTCCCCATGGTGGGGGGAAACAAGGTAACCATTGTAGCCCAAGCCAAACATAGACATGCACGGGAATTCCTAGAGGCATGGTTCTCCACCCGTAATGCTATCAATAAACACATAGAATTGGACCCCATATACAAACCCATACAGATCAAAACCGGAAATGACAGTACTCACCATAACAGACCGGACAGTATATATTTCAAGCGGAGTAGAATAACACCGCTTCATCGGAGGCTCCACTGACGATGTCGCCTAGCATGGTGACAAAATGTCTGAACGAAAACAAGCCAGCTCGGCGAGCAAGTCAACAACCTCACCCACAACCCGAGCTGCAAATCTTTGCTAAAACTCTTCACCATACAAGTTATCATAGAATCCTCTACAGTGCGGAAAGGGGCTATTTGCCCATTGAGCCTGCACCGGCCAGACCCACCCCATCCCTGTAAACCCACATTTACCATGGCTAACCCGCTTAGCCTACACATCTCTGGACACTATGGGCAATTTAGCATGGCCAATCCACCTACCCTGCACATCTTTGGACTATGGAAGGAAACTAGAGAACCTGGAGGGAGACACAGGGAGAATGTGTAAACTTCATGGGTGGCACGGTGGCTCAGTGGTTAGCACGGCTGTCTCCCAGCACCAGGGATCTGGGTTTGATTCCACCCTCGGGCAACTGTCTGTGTGGAGTTTACACATTCTCCCTGTGTCTGCGTGGGTTTCCTCCAGGTGCTCCGGTTCCCTCCCACAGATGTGCAGGCTAGGTGGATTGGCCATGCTAAATTGCCCGAAGTGTTCAGGAATGTGTAGATTAGGTGAGGTTATAGGAGGATGGCTTTGCGTGGGATGCTCTGAAGGTCAGTGCAGACTTGTTGGGCCAAAGGGCCTGTTTCCACACTGTAGGGATTCTCTATGGTTCACACAGACTGTTGCCCAAGCTAGAATTGAACCCGGGTCCCTGGTGCTGTGAGACTGCAGTGCTAGTCACGGTGCCATCCAAGTTCTTTGAGCATGTTCCAACCAGTTTCATGCCACTTGTCCCAAAATTCGATTTTCAATTTTTGAATCCTTTCAATCTACCTTGTTCCCTGCACACACCACTAAGAACACTCTAGCCAATGTCATTCTTTGTTATTGTGGCTTCTTTGCAGTCCTCCTATGAATCCCCTTTGTTCCCCATCTCCACTAGTGTACAGCTTTCAACCTCTTAGCTATCTATCTGCTACCAGTGCCTCATACCACTTCAGCTAATTATCTTATTAACCTCTTCATCTGGAGCATGCTTTTTACAAACCAGGCAGTACCCATTCATTCCTCTGTGAAGTACCTTGGGATACCTATTATGTTCTAAATACAATATGAATGCAAGTTGTTGTTTGGTGCATTTGATGTTCTAATTAAATACAAAATATTTTACCTGTTTTGGTGGCACCAGGTTGGATGATGGATATTTTTACTCCCCAGGGTTTCATTTCTTGACGCAAAATGTCTGAAAAACACTCCAGTGCTGCTTTGGATGCTCCATATGCTGACATGCTTCCAAATGGTAATTCCCCTGTGAACCATATCAGTCAAGAGATCGGTCAGAACGCAAGGCACTTATGCTTCTAATTCATCCTCAAGTGAATCAAGATACAATAAACTAATTAAAGCTCACTGCAGAAGTTCCTTGGATGCATTTGTGTCTTTCAATTTCTGAATGTTATTCCTTAGCTCAACTACTTTGATTTTGTGTGGCTGAGAGTTTATTATATTGTACCACAATATATTGGTTTTATATGCATGTTGTTCCAACTTAACTCTTCTATTTATAAAAATTGAAGAAAATAAAGGTTGCTGAACCTTTCAAACAAATTACAAAAAATTTTTGCTGTTGTCCTCATGGTGACCAGTCATTTTCTCTCTCTCCTAAGCCATTTGTGCTATTGGAATTTCTGGGATGGGTTGGGGAGAATGGAGAAATAACAGGTTTTCAATACGTTTTCAACCTTGTTTCATTGATTTTGTGCAAGAATCAGACAGATGGCATTACAGCCATATACAATGACAGCTGTCTAGAAAGCAGGCAACATTTTCAAGCCAAAAGGGAATAGTCCTTAATGGCCTCCTGGGCCCCTGACAGACTCTGCCATTTCTCCTTCTGCCTACCTCTAACACTAATACATCCAATGCAGCAAAATGTCAGCCTGGAATCCTCTCCTTGCCCTGGTGTCACTTTTGTCAGTATTTAAAGTGCAGCAGAATCCGTCAGTGCAGCACTATTTTAGAGTAGATAGCTTGTTTTTAAGAACAGCAACCTGCCAGCACCATATGATGACAGAACAATATTAATCTGCCTCTTTGTTGAGCACTGAGCTAGCCCACAGAGGCAAGCAAAGAATAATTCAATCTGCTCAGCCAGACACCACAAACATGTAGACTAGATGGGTGCTCAAAATTTCTCTGCTGCCGACTCCAACATGAATGGGCAAGGGCAGGTCATGAAACAATGTCTCTCATGACCTAGATGTGGAGGTGCCTGTGTTGGACTGGAGTGGACAAGGTCAGAAGTCACACAACACCAGGCTACAGTCCAACAGGTTTATTTGAAATCACAAGCTTTTGAAGTGCTGCTCCTTCGTTGAGTGAAGTGGAGGGGAGCAGAATTTACAGGCGGAGAGATCACATGATCGTGCAAATGGTGTGTGGAGTGTCAACAGCTGAACAGCAAGTGAAGAGATGACCCATGGTCCAATTAATTGAGGCGGAGAGATAAATACAAAAAATTAAAAATAAAATAGTGCTGGAGACAAACCTAAAGGCTGGAATAACATGATAGGTATAAGAGTCGCATGCCAAGGTTCTAACCAAAGTAACAAGTAATCCAAAACTGTACAAACTAATTAAGGTATAGAGAATATAAAAAGTTATCAAAGTGATGGTGTCAAAACACGACAGGAAGGCAGATTTTACAGATACATGTGCTAGGGTCACATGTAGCATGACATGAACTCAAGATCACACTAAAGGCTGTCTTCATGGGTACGGAACTTGGCTGTCTGTCTCTATTCAGCGATTCTGCATTGTTGCATATCACAAAGTCCGCCTTGGAGGATGTTTACACGAATATCGGAGGCTGAATGCCCTTGATCACTGAAGTGTTCCCTGACTGGGAGGGAACATTCCTAATTGGCAATTGTTGCATGATGTCCATTCATCCATTGTTGTCGCGTCTGTGTGGTCTCGCCAACATACCACGCCTCGGGGCATCATTGCTGCAGTGTAGGAGATAGACGACATTGGCCGAGTCACATGAGTATCTGGAATGTAGGTGGTGGGTGGTGTTCCCACGTGTGATAATAGTATCCATGTTGTTGATCTGATATATCTTGCAGAGGTTGCCATGGCAGGGTTGTGTGTTGTTGTGGTCGCTGTTGTCCTAAAGGCTGGATAGTTTGCTGTGAATGATGGCCTGTTTAAGGCTTGGCAGTTGTTTGAAGGCTAGAAGGAGAGGCGTAGGGATGACCTTGGCAAGATGTTTATTATCAACGATGACATATTGAAGGCTGCAAAGGACATGGCATTGTTTCTCCATTCCGGGGAAGTACTGGACGACAAAGGGTACTCTATCGGTCATGTCCCATGTCCGTCTTCTGAGGAGGTCATTGCAATTATTTGCTGTGGCACGTCTGAACTGACAATCGAAGTGTTGAGCATCATATCTTGTTCTTGTGAGGGCACCTTTCAACATCTTTATGTGTCCATTTGTGGATACAATCATTACATGTGGGAACACCATCCACCACATACGTGGCAGGTACTCGTTTGACTCAGTCCAACATCGTCCAACAATTGCCAGACAGGAATGTTCCCTCCCAGTCGGGGAACACTTCAGTGGTCAAGGGCATTCAGCCTCTGATATTCGGGTAAGCATTCTCCAAGGCGGACTTTGAGATACAAAACAATGCAGAATTGCTGCGCAGAAACTGATAGCCAAGTTCCGTACCCATGAAGACGGCCTTTACTGTGATCTTGGGTTCATGTCGTGCTACACGTGACACCAGCACACCGGTGTGTACCTGTAAAATCTTCCTTACTGTTCTGTTTTGACATCATCACCTTGATAACTTGTTACGATCCCACTACCTTAATTAGTTTGTACAGTTTTGGATTACTTGTTACTTTGGTTAGACTCTTGGCATGCAACTCTTATACCTATCATGTTATTTCAGCCTTTTGGTTTGTCTCCAGCACCATCTTATTTTTTAACTTTTTGTAATTATCTCTCTGCCTCAATTAATTGGATCATAGGTCATCCCTTCACTTGCTATTCAAAGGAACAAAAGTGAAGTACAGCACAGAAACGGGCCCGTCGGCTCTCCAAGCCTGTACCAATCATCATGTCCTAACTAATCTAAAAAACAAACCTTCCGCCCTTATTTGGTCCATTTCCCTCCATTCCCTCCCTATTCATGTAACCATCCAGATGCCTCTTAAATGTCATTAATGTGCCTGCTTCCACCATTCTTCTGGCAGTGCATTCCAGGCCCTTACCACACTCTGCTTTACAAATGACTCTCACACATCTCCCTTAAACTTTCCCCCTCTCACCTTGAACCTGTGCCCCCTTGTAATTGAAAATTCAACCCTGGGAAAATAGCCTCTATGCCTTTCATAATTTTGTAGACCTCTATCAGATCTCCCCTCAGCTGCCGCCGTTTTTCCAGTGAAAACAATCCTAGTCTTTTTAACCTTTCCTCATAGCCAATGCCCTCGTGACCAGGCAACATCCTAGTGAACTTTCCTCTCTCTATTGCTTCCACGTCCTTCTGGTAATGTAGCAACCAGAACTACACACAATACTCCAAATGCGGCCTAACAAGGGTTTTATATTGCTGCAACATGCTTTGCCAAATCATGTACTCCATGCCCAGGCCGATGAAGGCAAGCATGCAATATGCCTTCTTAAGCACCTGGGCCATGTGTGTTGCCACTTTTAGGGAACTGTGGGCCTGCACACCCAGATCTGTCCATATGTTAATGTTCCTAAGGGTTCTGCCATTTCCAGTATAATTCACACTACCTAAATTTGATCCCCCAAAATGCATCACCTTGCATTTGTCTGGATTAAACTCCATCTGCTATTTCTGTGGCCAAGTCGCCAATCTATCCTCACTGGCATAAAATTCATCAGGGAAGAGGAGAACAACAACAGACTTCCCTTCCTGGATGTAATGGTCGAATGTAAGGCCAACAGTGAGCTCCAGACCAGCGTACACAGGAAGGCCACCCATACGGATCAGGTATTCAACTACAATAGCAATCATCCCAATACCCACAAATGGAGCTGCACCAAAACACTGTTCAAGTGAGCCGCAACACACTGCAGCACCCCGGAGCTATGCAAAGCCGAGGAAGAATACGTATACAGCATCTTTAGAAACAACGGTTACCCAAAAAGCATAGTCTGCCGATACATAACAGACGACAACAGGAAGACACAACAAGTCCAGAGACACTAGTCACCCCACCATACATTAAGGGCGTATCTGAAATGACCACCAGATTACTCTGACCCCTAGGAATCATGGTAGCCCACAAACCGGCAGAGAGACTATGACAGCTACTGACAAGAACAAAGGATCCGACAACCACAATTAACAGAACCAATGCTATTTACAAGATACCGTGCAAAGACAGCCAAAAACATTACATAGGGCAAACCAGAAGGAAACTAGCCATCAGGATTTACAAACACCAACCAGTTACCAAGAGAAATGACCAACTGTCACTCATTTCAATACACATGGACAAAGAGGGACACCAATTCTACTGGGACAACATAGCCTTCCTAGGACAAGCCAAGCAAAGACACGCACGAGAATTCCTGGAGGCCTGGCACTCAAACTGGAATTTCATTAACAATCATGTAGAGCTGGACCCCATATACCAACCACTAAGAAACAAATCCGGAAGTGATGCCACCCACCCCAGCAAAACGAGACGCATAAATAGCAAGTGGGACAGAACACCGATGCTTCACCGGAGGCGCACTGATGATGTTACCTGGTATGGTGATGAAATGTCTGTGAACAAACTTACCAGCTCAGCTAGCAAGTCAACAACCGCAAGTTGCCAATCTATCTATATCCTGTTGTATCCTTTCACAATCAGTGGCACTATCAGCAACTCCACCAATCTTTGTGTCATCTGCAAACTTACTAATCAGACCACCCACATTTTCCGCCAAATCATTTATATATGCTACAAACAACAGACGACTTAAGACTGATCCTTATGGAACACCACTAGTTACCAGTCTCCATTCTGAAAAACACCCTTCCACCACTACCCTCTGTCTTCTCTGACGAAGCCAGTTTTGTATCCACCTAGGCAGCCCATCCCGAATTCCATGTGATTTCAGCTGTTGACACTTTACTCACACCATCTGATACTTTTGATCATCTGCAGAGACTTGTTACACCATTTGTACTGTCTTTTGATCTCTCTGCCTATAAATTCTATGCCTGTATGCTTCCCTCCACTTTACCTGACAAAGGAGCAGTGCTATGAAAG